ATGCAAATATTAAAAGATAAGAAATGGTAAAATATCTTAGCTTTATAATTTAAACTTCTAGGAAAAGTGCATTTTGCCAAAAAAAAAAAAAACAAAAAAAACAGAGAGGGTTTCTACAATGGAAATTTCCTCTGATGATCAAACCCTGGATTTGTAAAGGGTTGATTTATTTACATGTCAGGGCTGTCTCTAGCTGAGATGGATTAAGCAGTAGTCTACATTGTTGATTTTAGGAAGCTCAGAAACATTTCTTAACAAAAATGTTCATTGCTGAAATTAATCACTAGCTTTTCATTCCTTTCATTAATTACTATTCTCTCTGTCTTTTAAAAATACTGCTGAAAAGGTAGTATACACATCTGGTTATTACCAAGTTAGTGTAGAGTCTTCTTTACTATTTTTATTGTTAAAACAGCTTTGTTGAGACGTAATTCAAATATTAAAGCATTTACTCTTTAAAGTATGCAATTTAGTTGTTTTTAGAACAAATATGCAACCATCAATCACCATTATTTAATTTTAAAACATTTTATTATCCCAAAAGGAAGCTCTATACCATACCTATTAGCAGTCACTCTCCATTTTCCCTTCCTTCTAGCACCTGTCAAACACTAACCTACTTTCTATCTGTGGGATTTTCATATTCTAAACATTTTCTACAAATAGAATCACAATATATGGCCTTTTTGGACTGACTTTTTAAAATTAATGTGTTCTCAGGTTTTTGTCCTTCTTGTGGCTTGTATCAGTACTGTCTTCTCCTTGCCACATACTATCCCATGGAATGGATACAGTACATCTTGGTTATCTACTCATCTGCTGACGTCATTTGTGTTGTTTCCACTTTTTGGCTAAATAATGAATAATGCTGTTGTGAACATTCATTACAAATGTTTGTGCGGACACATGTTTTTAATACTGCTGGGTATATACCTAGCCGGGTAATATGAGGTTTACATTTTGAGGAACCATAAGACTGTTTTTCAAAGAAGCTGTACCATTTTACATTTCCAGCAACAATGTATGAGGGTTCCAATTTGCCCACATTCTCACCAGCACTTCTCATTGTCTCTTTTTCTGTTTTAGCCATTCTAGTGACTGTGAAATTGCATCTTATTGTGGTTTTAATTTGCATTTCCCTAATGACTAATGATGTTGAGCATCTTTTCATATGCTATTGGCCATTTGCATATCTTTCTGGAGAAATGTCTATTCAAATCTGTTGCCCATTTTTTAATTAGACTGTTTGTCTTCTTTTTATTGAGTTGTAAGATTTCTTTGTATGTTACGGATTATGGATATGATGACAAGTTCCTTGCCAGATAGATAAAATTTGCAAACATTATCTCCATTGTCTTGTCTTTGCACTTATTAGATTGTGTCCTTTGAAACACAAAAGTTTTTAGTTTTGATGAAGTGCAGCTTATTTTTTTAATTTGCCTCTTTGTGCTTTTGATGTCACATCTAAAAAACCATTGCCTAATTTATGTCATGAAGATTTGTTTTCTTCCAAGATTTTCTTTTTAACTTTTATCTCTTAAATTAGGTCTGTGATTCATTTTGAGTTAATTTTTGTACATGGTCTGAGGTAGGAGTCCAGCTTTATTCTTTTGCATGTGGCTATCCAGTTGTCCAAAGATCATTTGTTAAAAAGACCATTCTTTCCTCCCGTGAATAGAGTTGGGACCCTTGTTGAAAATCAACGATCATAAATATAAAGTTCTATTTCTGGATTCTTAATTTTAATTTATTGATCCATATTTATAGCCTTATGCCAGTATCTCTCCATCTTAATTATTCTAGCTTTGTAGTAAGTTTTGAAATAGGGACGTGTGAGTCATCTATGTTGGTTTTTTCTTTTCAAGATTGTTTTAGCTATTCTGTCTCCTTTGACTTTCCGTATAAATTTTAGAAGAATATTGTCAATTTCTGCAAGTAAGCCAGCATCAGTTTAGGGAGTGTGCTATGTACACAGTGTTAAGACTTGTACCTTACAGCCCTGCTGAACTTGTTTCTTACTTCAAATAATGTTATAGTAAATTCCTTAGAATTTTCTACATACAAGATTATGTCATGTGCAAATAGAGAATTCTATATCTGGCAATATTTTTCTCAAAAATGAAAAAGAAATTAAGACATTCCAAGATAAACAAAAACTGAGCAAATTTATCACCAACAAACTAGCCAGTAAGTTTAGGCAAGATAATGAAATAACTTACCTTAAATTCCTTGAATTCCTCGGTCTCCCAGCCTACATACAAGGGTCCCTACATGTTTGCTGGGGCATACCTTTAATGCTGAGGAAGTTTGTAACACTATCTTTCTTCTCACTTTCTGTTAGTGCAGTCTCAAGGCCAGCCAGAGGTGAATAATAACATCCTCCTCAGGTATTTTCTGCGCATACATATAGTCCTGCACGTGTGTGGCCTTCCTGATTCCCAGGAGTACATCAGAGGTTTTTGAAGCCCCTTATACACATCATATTTCACAGATTTTTTTTTCTAAGTTTTTGGCTACCTTCTTGTTTATTTCACTGGTATTGCAGCTTTGCCAACTGTGATGTTAAACACTTGCCACTGATCTTTTTCAACAAACATCCCTAGGACAGGGCTGCTCAAGCTGAGTGAACTCTGAATCAGGTCTAACAAAGACAAGAACTGTGAGTGGAGCTTTTCCAGACAGCTCCCAGATGAGTCAGAGAGTGGTAGCTCTTTGAGGATGGGACATTTTGAGGAGCCCCAAATCCATACTACCCCCTGTAGTGGTTGCAAGGCTGCTGGATTTCACAGCTCCAGTGTTTCAAGGCTGTTGTTTTTCAAGGCTACCATGGAGCTAGGGAGAGGTGCTGGGAATGTTCAAGTTAAAATACCACAAAGCTCACAGTTCCTACTGAGTTTAGCATTTTGTCTTACATAAACACTTCTTGGATTGGTGTGAGCCTTTGGACAATTTCCAGAGTTCTGAAAAAGTTGATTTTTGACAATTTTTGCCACTGATATTATTGTTCTTGTGGAGTAATGTATTTCAAAGATCATTACACCACTGTTTCTCTTTCTTTATTTATAACTAGTATTTTTCCTTGGGACAGATGATACCAGAAGCACATGAAAAGGCTTAGTGTCCAATGAAGAGTGGTTACAAGATTGAGTTGGAATGGAGGCTCTACAGAAGGGACTGAAAACAAAATTTTCCTGATTACATTTCCTTATTTAATGTTTAATTGTAGCAATGTAATAAATAAATGGCCATGGGAGTATATATAGGTCGAGCCTTATCCTTTTTATTTTACAGTGTTCTATGAAGCTATGCCGTCTGTTTTTCCATCCCACAGCAGATGGGAGTAGGGAGACCACATATTAGAGACAGGCATACTAGGATAACTGGCAGTGAGAAAGAGGATTTTAGCATAAAAAAGTAGACATAAGAATCAGCAGGTGCCAATGTAGCCTACTAACATACTCACTTTTCATAGGCTATATCTATACCAAAATGAAAATGTGAATTTGTTCTCTGTATTCTTTGTTTTTAAAGATAGATAAAGCCTAGTATATTTTGCATTATTTTTTCTATCAAAAACCGATAAAATGTTTAAGGTTAGATATTTAAAATTTTAGACTTCATTTACCTAGAGCATTTATGGCCAAGAAATATCATATATCCAAACGATATTGCTAATGGGACATCAGTATTTCATTGTTGAGGAAAATGTTTCTTTAATTATACACCTAAATTCGTCATAGTTCCAACATCTTAAAAGTTGAGAATTTCAACAATTTATTGTCTCCAGCTAAAGACACATGAAGAAAAATGATTAACCTCTTCAAAAGTAGAACATTGAATCACACAGTAACAATACTTTCCTGCACATTCCCTGTATTAAGTCTTTTAAATTTGTCAGCACTGATAACACTTTCCACCTACACAGCAAAAGATGCATTGACTTGTTGCTGAAGATATTATTGTTAGTTTAATAGTTGCACAAGGTGCTCAGGACTTAAGTGACCACTTCAGAATACTCTCCATTCAAAACTGTGTTTTAGGAGGCCCTTATAATGATAGATCACTCAACACACAGGCATGCAAGCATATGAAATATGGAACTGTAGATAGGACATTGACTGAAGTAGTAGAGCAGGATTTCTAATGCCAACAGTAAGGAGTGAACTCAGAGGAGCCATCTATCAAAAAATCTACCCACAACATGGGTACCAATAGCTGATGTCATCATAGCTGGTTGGATGAAAACATCTTGGAGATAAGGGAGCCACTTGTAACAAAAAAACAAATATAAAGCTACAGAAGTTTACTGTTCAATGTAGCATAGCTAAAAGACCCAGTTTTGAAAGTCTACTTCATTTCATGCTTATATTTTTACAAGCTTATATTCAAAAGCTGAGAAGATCCAGCCTTTGGGTTCTTAAGACCACCATCAAATCAAGGGCTCCTCTGCAGGACTGAAGAATATGTATGGACTAGCATCTTCTACCAAAAAGTCATTCTAAGAAAATAGAGGAGGGGAAATCCTAGAGGATTTCAGTTGGTGCTTAGTATTAAGTAGGGAATTACATTACAAGTTATATGGTGGCAAACAGAGTATGTTCCTCCTCTTCTAGGAAGTGACTATCATTGTGGGTGTTTACCATGTGAAGTACCAGGTGTCAGATTGACAGTTTGCCAAATTACAGGTGTTGTTTCCCCAGGACTTTTTTTCAATATATTCTTTGATTCAAGTCAAGTATATACTAAAAGATGAGGAATATATTTAAGATGACTGAACTCCGTTTGAGTTACACGTCCTTTCTTAGGGAACAGGATTGATGTGCTGCTGTTCCTAGACAAAAATGTAAATTCTAGCAGATACTCACAAATATAAATTTTAAATAGATATTTCTATAAAGTTGTTGTGTAGTGTTTAATAAGATTGTTATTAGAATACAAGACATTTAATTCATATGCGGTTAGCCATGTTGATACTAAAAGTGTGTCATTCTTTATTGCAGTTTCCTGGCAGGTTACAATGGTACCATCTTTGCCTATGGGCAAACAGGCAGCGGGAAGACATTCACTATCACAGGGGGTGCAGAGCGTTACAGTGACCGAGGCATTATCCCAAGGACACTGTCATACATTTTTGAACAGTTACAAAAGGTATGAAACTTTTTGTTCATATCATTTTGTATTTGATATATTCAGCAAAAATTTATTGAAAGCAGGAAATGTATTATGACATTTTATTTTATTGTGTCTAAATGATAAAGTATTATTGTGTCATAACTCTGGCCTTTACCTTTAAGGAAAGGTTGGGATTTTGCTGGAGAAGTGAAAATGAAGAAGGTGCTTCTCATTAAAGGACTGCTATTTCAGCAAAGGCTCAAGGAGAGCTCCTTCAACGAAGGTTGAAAGAACAGACAACACCTTTTACCAACTCATATCTTACATTCCTCAAGAAACTGAGGAATGCCTTCATATCAAAGCAGACCTTCCTTTGAGCTACTAAAACACTAAATAGGATAGTATGATTGTTACCATTTTACACTTGATAGAAGCCCAGAGGAATTTACCAGAGTACAAATACCACTGTAATTATTATTACTATATAAAAGGGATCTCTATCTATATTATATGTATCTTTTATTGAGTGCCTCAAAATGCCAGTAGCTTTATCAGTTTTACCAGTATTTGATAGAACATATGATGCAACTTATCATTTTATAGCTGGGAAAACTGAGCCTCAGGTTAAATATTTTCCTCTGGGCCCACATCCTATAAGTAGAGCTGATTGGGAGTTCTAGCCCAACCCCATCTGATGCATGACTCTGTGCTTTGTGCCATTACATGTATTGCCGCTGTACCTCAGACAGGCTTTATTTTGTTGGTTGTGCTCAAACAAATTCCCTATAATGAGTCACATACCTTCTCTGAGTTTCAGTTTTCCCTTCTGTAAAAGCAGAGACTGAATTGTACTAGAGAATCTCCAGTGTCCCTACTAGTTCCAGATATTCCTTGGTTGTATTACTTCTGTATAATAAATGTATTAACTAGGTCAATGTAACAGTCACTCCAGAATTTCTTGACTGTATATTGTTGGCATTTTGAGTTGCAAAGATGAGAAGAAATTGCTGAGATCTGCATAATTCTAATTGCCATCCATAAAGTAGCAATTATCCATTAGTTCAGCTCATCTTTCTCTAGCTCAAACATGCCAGCTTTGCATGCCAGAAAGTTTGGATGAAAAAAGATTGAGTGTAGCATATATGTTGGATCCAAGGCCCCTTTTTCATTTACTCACTTATTTCTGAGATTGCCTGTTTTGTTTCCACATTTCACAAACTGGGAATATAACTCCTAATAGCTGTCATTTTTGTGGCCTAACGTGGAAGCCTTTTGTCTTAGAAAGATCATTGGAATTGGTGCAGGTCAACCTGGTTCTGAGAAAGAGTACTGCTTACAGCATGTGGCGTTGGAGCGGTTACTTAATGCCTCAGTCTTATGGAGTTGCTCTGAGGGGCTGAACATACTGTGTTTAAAGATGTTGTCCAGTTCCTTGCACACAGTATATGCTCAATACATGATAGTTATTATCACAGCCAGTAATACCCATATATGGATATTGATGTTGCCAAGTGATCCCTGACCAATTTCAGAGAATCCTTGAAACTCTTGAAACAAATGAAACCAATTCTCCTGATAGAATAAACTCATCCTCTTCCAAAGGAAATATTTTTTTGTCCCTTTAAAAATTTATTTATGGTTACTAAAGTACAGATCTAAATTTCTAAATGTCTTCTTAGTACTTACCATTTGTCAGGTTCATAGTTTTAGATCTGTCTGTCACGGACATTACTGTAAACTCCACTTTATTCTGAATGATCCTAAATAACTTCCCAGACTTGTAGAGAGCCCATTGGACCAATTTAAAGCCAGGGCAACTCTTGGTAAATGAACATATAATACATTCATTATAATCAAACAGCTGAAGTGAAACTGGTCAGGTAACTTGAAGTGCATCATGAAATTTGTTCATATTGTATAGCTGAAAAATGCAGCCTGATTGCCTTAGAGAGGTACATGGAGTTCTCTTAAAGGAAACATTTGACCTATGCAAAGTCTTCATTTCAAGATAAAGTAAGAGCCCAGCATACTGGGTCCTGAAATGCCTATGAGTATGATAGGAGCACATTTTCACTGATTTTAAGGGAAGAAAATTGATGCCATTTATTTTAGAAATCACTGCTTATTATTTTTGAGTATTGAGAGGTTCAAACTTGTTTTGGGACAGAAGAAAAGGCTGTCTGCAGGAAACATGTGTGTTACATTACAGTCTGGCAATCCTAAACATGAAAAAGGAGTAATAAGGAAAGGTAGCTTGCCACATAGCTCAGCGAATTTTAAGTGTATTTTCCAATAAAAATCCAGAAAATGCAGAAGCTAGAGGGGCCAAAAGCATTATCCCTATCTTCTCAGGGCAGTGGACCTGCCATTTTCCTGATATTTTATGATTTATTAATTTCTGGAAGAAGACATTTTTCTCCACTGCAGACAAACATACAAGTTGACTGTCCTCTTTGCTTTTATATTCCTTTCCTTTTATATTCATATACTGAATTCTCCATTAGAAAGCTTCCAGAAATAATAACAATAACCCCAACAATGATAATAGCAACAGCAGCAACAATGATTCATTGGTATCTGTTATGGGCCACACAGTTTTGTAAGATTTTAAATATAGAATCTTATTTCTCTGTTACAACAGAATGCAAGATCAGGGTTATTACGCCCATTTTTATGGTGAAACAACTGAGGGGTAAGGGTGTGGGATCATTCTGTTATAAATGGAGATCCAATATTCAAACCCAGTTTTTATCTAATGGTAAGAAGCACTAGAAATGTATACTAAAATCTAAAACCATAATAATCTCTGGGATATTTCAGGTATTTTGGATAAATTTTAAAACTGTGTTGGTTTAGATAGGATCTCAGCATGTTGCTAAAATATCCCCTAGGACCTTTAACATTCTCCAGAGAGGGACAGAGTTTACATATATGTTGACCATGGAACACTGTTTTCCTGGAATATTCCATGGAATATTTTAGAAACACTGGATTATACTAACAGGCACACAGAGTCTGTTTAGTGTTTATAGTCTCTGATACCTGTGCTAAGCCAAGTTATAACCCAAAGAATTATATTGAGGTAGTACCGTTACTAAACTAGGATACTAATGTGATCAGTAGGCCATTTGTTGGGATAACCATTACAGTCCCCCACATCAGAAGAATTTTCAGCATTAAGCTGAAAAAAATTTTCTTGGTAATTCAGTCCATGTTGTCACCTTCACAGAGCACCAGAATATAGAATTTCAGCTATAGCTTGAGTATTTTTGTGATAGTCATGGAAGGCTAAGAGTTGCTTTAATTGTTCGTGTATCATTTTGTCTTTCTGAAATGACAGCATCTTTATTTAGATAATTGGAGCCATTTTAGAACCAAAGAATCATTCATTTTACATGGAAGAACACATAGGGGTTTATTAGCCAACTTATCCACCTTAATGGGTTTAAAAACTAAGGCCTGACTTGGTAGATGCTCACCTCTAGTTAGAGTAGGAGTCCAGCCTTTTATTTATAGGCCACTATTCTTTCTCCTATCTCTGTGACTTGGTCCTCGCTCCCTTTGAACAACACCTATTAAATGGATTGCCTTGGATATGGGTGAGAATCAATCAGGAAGATCATCTTAAGCAAATTCTCTGTTAGTATACACTCTGACACCCTGACAACCTGCTGGCCACAAGACACAAATATACTCTCCCCCTATGAAAAGCATCATAAAATTTTCAGAAATGGAAGCATTAGTGTTTTTGGAGGAACAAGAAGAAGGTGCTATTGTTTTATATTTTGTATTGAAAACTGAACTTTCTCAAGAGTTGAAAATTCCCTATTTTTTTCCACCTCAAAGGGAATGGGTCATTTTTGTCTATTGGCAGAATTGACACTAGGACCAGGCACCTTGACTTTTAGCCTCATTACATTGATGCCTATGTCATTGCTGAAATGCATACATTTCAGCACCAAAAACATTTCTCTATTAACTAATTGCTAACTATCCCTGATTTGCCCTCTTGGGCCAGGAAAATTAACTCCACAGGTGAGGTATCAGCAGTGAACTATTAATGTCCACTCATACCTGACTAATCAGCTATTTTCTGTCCTCTGGAACTCACTTTCATTGTTATCTATTTATATCATCAGAAAATATTGAATATTAGAAAACTTGAAAAAGAATTATGATTAAAGATGGAAACTATTTTGCTCCTGAAATTTTTAAACCAAAGTAATGATCTGTGTCCTATTTTATGAATAGACTATTCACAGAATGTAAGTTTATTTTTTTAGTAACCTTTTTTTTAGTCTGGAAAGTAAAAAATGGTGTGTTATACAGTTCTGCAACCAAGTTGGCTCATTGTAAGTGTATATTGACTTTTTATGTATAATGTGGAACCAATAAAAAATAACAGACTGAAGTTGCTTGTAATCATGGGTGTTGGCCATTAAAAAAAGCTTCATGCATATGGTAACTGGCAACTTGAAAGTGTCATGAACTGAAAATGTAAACCATATAAAGTGAGAGAAAAAGAGAGAAACTGTGAGGGAACTGAGTGCTAAATGTGTTCATCTTCATCTAAGCAGAATCATTATTTATAACTAATAAATAATACATTTCCCCTTCCCAATCAGGACAGCAGCAAAATATATACAACACACATTTCCTATTTGGAAATCTACAATGAATGTGGTCATGATCTTTTGGATCCAAGACATGAAGCCTCCAGTTTGGAAGATTTGCCGTGAGTAGCAGAACAACAAAGAATGGAGGGAAATTACTTTCAGATGTTCTCTTCAATTGTTTTCTTTGAAACTTTGTATGTTTCTGGTCTCAATCATAATTAGCAAATACTGGATAACTGAATCTTTTTGTAAAATAATGTATTTTTTTTCAGTTATGACAAATGGACAGTAGTGATAGGAACTGAAATTGCCCAAAACTCATTTCTTGGGAAAATCTCTTTTGGAATTGGCAGAAGAGAGTGCAATGAATTTTCTCTAAGACTGGGTGCTAAGAGGATTGATGGGATATGACAGTACTACTTTCTTTCTGCCACATGAAACCCTGTTACTCCTCTAATTGTGGCCTTTTTCTTAGAAGAAGGTATTCAAATTAGAGTTCAAGCAGCAGTAAGAGAATCTGAAACAGAGAAAATAACATTTTTAAGTTTTCCTCAAATGCTTCTCTACTATGGCTAATGCTAACTTTGGCAATCATTTGATCAGATTGGCACTGATTATTTCATGACTGAAATTTAAATAGCGTCTTCAAAGTTTATCTAATAATGGGGCAAGTTACCCTGCCAGCATTTATATAACATTGCTCAATGCTTGTTTGAATATCTGCCTATATTAGACATATGTTAATTGGTAACAGTTCATATACTTTTTTTCAGACATCTTCATATATCAGAAGTAGCCTATAACTAAGAAAATATGTTTTTATCTTCTTATTAAATGCTCTAATTTAGAGGTACATATTAATTCTCTACCAAAAAGATTAACAGTCAGTCGATTATTTTAATTTCAAAGAAATTAAGAAGAAATAATAAAGAAAATAAGTTACACTGTTTATACTACCTTTATATGTACTTCCTTTAATGTTGGTTGAGAATTTTTGCATATCATCTCCTTTATGTTTAAAATATTTATAAGAGGGACTTAGGAAAGGGACTGTTATTTATAATGTAAATAGTTGTTTAAGAATTAAGGGAAAGGAAAGATTACTGAATCCATACAAGAAAATGGGCTTAATAAAACCATTAGCATTAAGTGTACAAAGAAAAGGAAAACTCTTTACATAGGACAGGAAAAACATTAAAGATGTGAAGGTGTGTTTGGAAAGGCAGTATGTGGAGGAGTGCTGTGGTCTGAGTGTTTGTTACCCTTGCCACCCCAAACTCATATGTTGAAACCTAGTCAGCATGGCGATGGTATTAGGAAGTGGGGCCTTTGGGGAGGTGATTAGGTCAAGAAGGTAGAGCCCTCATGAATAGAATTAGTTCACTTGTAAAATACACACTCAAGACTTGGTTCATTCCTTCTACCATATTGAGGACACCGGTGAGAAGCCACAAGCCTATAACCTGGAAGAGGACCCTCACCAGAACCTGACCATACTGGCACCCTGATACCATATTTGCCAGCCTTCAGAACAGTGAGAAGCAAATTTCTGTTGTTTATAAAGCCACCCAGTTTATAGTGTTTTCTTATAGCCTGAATGGACTAGGAGAAAGAGTTGTTGGAAATAAAAGCAGAAAGGCCAATTGAAGCCAGTTTTTGGAGAGACTTGAATGACAGGCTTTTAGTGTGAGTTTGAGCTTTATTCTAAAAAGTGTCTTAATTAGTTTTCTAGCCTCTAGTCTAACCAGTATACCTCCAGGCTAAATCTTGCTTCAGACTGCTTTCAGCAAGTAACATGTACACCTAAGAGTTTAAAAGCTGTTAACAATAATCCAGGAATTAAGAGCTTGGATATGATGAACATAGAGGAGGAGAGAGGAATTCAAGAAATGTGCAAAGAAGTGAAATAAAATAACTTGATTATATCCAGCACCTTGGATTTGATTGAATTTGAAAAGAAGTGAATCATAGAAGGTTGGTGTTCTCTTTGTTTTACTGATTGAGGAGATTAAGCCCAGACAGGTATGACTTGGCCAGTGTTTCAAAACTAATTGGTTAGTGTTAGAACAAAGATTAAAAACCAGATACTCTCACTTTCATGCCAGAGTAGCAAAAAGAGCTTTAAAATTTTTATACTGGGGCATAGAGAATTAAGGCGTCATTGACTTAAAAAGGAGATTTCCATTAGAAAGTTTGATCGAGTGATGATAATAAATTTTACATAGATAAGTTTGCTAAGGATGTTGTTCTAAATGTTTATATTTACAATAAATTCCTCAGAAGTAGGGAGTATGCCTTACTTGGTTTAGTAGTCTTTCTGCTGCCTAAGCCAGAATAAGTCCTTAGTAATTTGTAAAAATTATTTGCTGAATTGAAACTGTGAAGTTGACGTTTTGAAATGAGAGTGTCGAGGGAGAAGAACAGAGCATGAGCTCTTTTCATCTGAATCTAATTGACATGGTTTGGTGCAGCCTAACTATGGGAAGAGCTAGGAATGAGGAAAGTCCATTGAACTCTAAGAGAGGTAACATAATATGTAGAATAAAAAGTACTTGATTAGAAGTCAGGAAATTGGGGTTCCAGTCCCAGTCTTAGGTAAATCATTTCATTTTTCTGAATTTCTCTGTAAAATATGGGCATTAGATTAAGTAGTATTTAACAGTCTTTCAACCTCCAATGTCAAGAGTTAAAAAGAGTGGTGACCTTCACAGGAGAAGACTTATTTGGTGAGTTTTCTATCCTTCACAAAAGAAGAATTGATTTCAATATTTTCAGATGTGCTCCTTTTAGAAAAGAGCAAGCCTCTTGAGAGCAAGTGCAATGCCTTAGTCCCCCCTGTGTCCTCCACATTTCTCAGCATGGTTGGCATTCAGCAGTCATTCTCAATACTGGTCCGATTGTCTCCAGAGATGTTGCTACCTTTCATCTTCAGCTACTGTTCTTTCTTTAGTAGCTTTGTCCTCTTGTTGGAGAGTTCATTGACTCAAGTTAGAAGTGACCTCAGCTATAAAACAGTTGTTTTCAAGAAACTACCATATACATATACAAAAGTGGTTTGAAAGTGTTCTTATTTTCACATTTCGGACTGTAATTACATGAAAGCAAATCCCATTAAAATCAAAATGTGATTAAGAAAGAAGAGTCACATATCCAAGTCAATAGCCTATTACTTCAAATATATTCACTACTATGAAATTTCAGAACAATTCAAGAATTGGATAGTCCTTTGGTGTGGAGATAATTAGGTTTGAATCTGCTAGTTTTCTGGAGGCTTTAGAAGAGTTTGCCTTTTACTAAGATAATAAAATAATTATTTATAATGAAATGTTATTTTTTTGCTCTACTTGGATTAGATTAAGCATATGTGCTATTAATTTGGTTTCACACACTCTTTACCTGGGACATACTATAACTCTGAAATTCTAGCTGTCTGGTTGACTGGTTTCATTGTTGTGAGCTGAAAGGTCTCAAACACTTTGAATGCCATCTAAAAATAGGAGGCAAAATGTCTGTTGACTTTGGTCCCCAAAATCATAGTCATCCATTTGAGGGACAATGGCAATATACCCGTTTTATCTCTTTTGCATTCTTATACTAGGCTTAACTATATAAAATTAAACTCAGGGTCACATTGGTACCGCACAATAATAACCATCAGTTGGAGCTTCTCACCATTGAGTGACACAGCTTCCCCAAATATCACCTGTAAGATGCTCTTGTCACATACACTCTGCTTTTTCTATTTTTTTTTTTAACATTTTAAGATGTACCACTTGTCTGCTTTTGCAGAACTTTTGCCTATAAACTGTCTGCGAATCTTGTATGTATTATATCAGGGCACTAGACTAAAGGCATTTTCTTTTTTTGCAAATGTTGCTATAGTCATTCGTTTAGTAAATATGAGAAATAGTGACATCTAAATTAACAATCAAAAGTGATTGAACCAAACTTAACCAAGATAAAATACATAATGGAATAGTTCAATAACTACTACAGAAATTGAATTCATAATTTTAAAGTTCCACAAAATGAAATCTTTGAACTTAGATGGTTTTATTGGAAAATTCTACTAAATATTTAAAGAAGAATTAACACCAATTTTACATAGTCTCTTTCAGGAAATTGAAGAGAGAACAATTCCTAGGTTATTCTGTGAATCTAGTATGGTCCTGATACCAAAACCAGGCAAAGATTGTACCAAAAAAAAAAAAAAAAAAGCTACAGACTGGTATTTCTCATGAATATAGGCTCAAAAATCTTCAACAAAATATTGACAATTGTATCCAACAATGTATAAAATGAATACTATATCATGACCAAGTGAGATTTATTCTAGATTGCAAAACTGGTTCAATATTTGAAAAGCAATTAGCAAATTGAACCAGCTTAATCCACAGGCTAAAGAAGAAAAATTACATGAAGCTCAGAAAAAGTATTTAATACCTATTGTTGATAGAAATCTCGACAAGTTAGAAATAAGGAAATCACCTCAATTTATTAAAAGAAATCTACAAAACACTTCAGCTAGCATTATGTGTAATAGTGAAAGACTGAATGTTTTCCTCATAAGATCAGACAAAATGCAAGAATGTCTACTCTCACCACTCTTCTTCAATATGGAATAGAAATACTAGACCCTGCAGTAAAGGAAAAACAAGAAATAAAAGACATACATATTGTCTACTAAATATCCCAGAGAATTTGCAATCTCTTCTGAAAAAAAAGAAGCAGAGAGAACACATTCTAACTCATTCACTGAGCCCAGCATTATCCAAACACCAAAAGCAGACAAATGCATTACAAGAAAGGAAGACTACAGACTAATAGCTCTTGTGACCACACATGCAAAAATCCTGAACAAAATAGCAAATTATATTTAAAAATGTATATAAAGAATTATATACTACAGCCAAGAGAGATTTATTAAAGGTATGCAAGATTAGTTCAAAGTTAAAAAACCAGCTAATGTAGTCCAATGCATGAACAGTCTAAAGAAGAAAAATAATATTATCATTTCAATAGATGCAGAAAAAATATTTGACAAAATTCAACATCCTTTCATGATAAATACTCTCAGGAAACTAGAAATGGAGGAAATATTCTCATCTTGATAAAGAAT